CTAAGTCAAACAACGACAACAAACTGTCATCTGTTAGTGATAAATAGCCATAGTGATGAATAGCAAGACAGAGTTGAAAGACTTATGCCACCAGATATCAAGACTTAATATAAAGCTGTGGAAATTAAAATGTAAGTCATCTTCGGCAACACAGGGAGACCTTGTTTTTAAAAAAATTAAGATGTAAGATACTGGCCCAATTATACAAAAATAACATCAATATAATTGATCCTGAATTATAGGAATAGGATTTTTAAAAAAATAGTGCTAGGTCAACTGGATACGTATAGAGTCACTTCACATACTACACAAAAATTAATTTGAAAACAACCATAAATCTAAATGTTAAAACATATGGAAAGCACAGCAGGTGGTAGCTCAGTGGTACAGTGTTTGCCTAGCATATGCTAGGCCTTGGCTTTGAAAAATGAAAATACAGGAAATTATCTTCAGAATTAGGGAAGTAAAGATTTCTTGAATATGACATGAAAAACACTAACCATCAAAGCAAAATTATACAACTTAGACTTTATTAAAATTAAGAAATTCTTCAAATATGCCATTAAGAGAGCTGCTCATGGTGGTACATGCTTATGAGTTTAGCACTTTGGAAGGGTGAGATAGAGGGACTGAAAGTTCAAGTCCTATCTGGAAAATTTAGCAAGATCCTGTCTCAAAATAAAAAATAAAGTGCTGGGGCTGTAGCTTAGTGTGAAAGCCCTAGGTTTGATCCTAGTACTGCCCCCCCCCAAAAAAAGAGGGGTTGTCACCATTAACTGGGAGAGAGTACTTGCAATATTAAAGACCCACATCTGTTGAATTTTTTAGTTTCAATGACATTTCTTCTAAAAGTTCCTTTTCCTTGTTTTCAAATACAACTTTTTAAAGTCTTTTTTTTATAAAGGCTTGCTGTCTTCTTTAGTGTCTTTAATAAATTTTCTCTCTTACTGACTTCCAACTATTTGACATATTTGGTGTTAGTGACTCTTGTTTCTTTCCATGAATATTTGCTAATTGTTGTGTAAAATCACTGTTTGGCTTTTTTCTTTCCTGTCAAGTGGCATAGACCTCAAATTTACACAAAGCGCAAGCTTGAGGTGTCACAGTCATAGAACACAATTCTTTTTCACAGACTTCCTTCCTTTGCCCTCCCCTTTAGAGCCAAGTGGAGAACTTTTCTTCTCCTCTTGTGCAGGTTCATGATTTTAAAAATTTTTTTGTAGTCTGTCCTTTCACTTAGGCTGCAAACATTTTCATGCGGAAGTCTGTTTCACCCTCTGAGTAACCTGATGCTTTGATGCTAATATAAAGCTCAAAGACCTTGCTAGGGAAGTGCTTAATAACTATCAAGCTCAATATCATATTTTCAGTTCCTCCATATCTGGTATCTGAGAATTTCCTGTTTCTCCTATAATTTTAGCTATGTAATTTTTCATATTTTGGAATTTTTGTTTGTTTTGTTTTCTTTGAGACAGGGTCTTGCTATGTGGTTTGGGCTGGTTTCAATCTCATGGTCATCTCTTGCCCAAGCCTCCTGAGTGCTGGAATTAAAGGCATGCACTACCATGCCTGGCCTAAGTGTATTATTTTATATCTCATTTATATTTGTAGCAGGAATAGTTATAGATTTTCACTGGCTATCATGCCAGACCCAGAAATTTTCATGTAGATTTTGTTTTATTTTTCAGAGGGAGCAGAGGCAGCTGCCTTTATTGGGGACCATGGGATGGCTGGTTTCACTTAAAGGTCACACCCTTGATCTTGAAGTTGCTGTCAGCTGCTAAGTGGTTGACAGCTTCCAGGTTGAGCTTGGTGGGAAACTTGAATTGGTGTCCATCCATACTGTCTGGGGACTCCACCCTCATGTTGATTTTGATTTTATAAGTTTAATAAACTTCATCTTTACAATAAACATTTTTTTTGCTTTCTGAAACACAATCCCAGTTTGTAGTTTAGGCTGGCCTTGAACTCACTATGTAGCCCAGGCTAACCTCAAACTCAGTGTCTTCCTGCCTCAGCCTTCCTAGTGCCAGGATTACGGGTGTACATTACTGTGCCCCGTGAAATGTCTGTTTTTATAATTTATTTCCCAACAGTCACTGGCAAGCCCAAATAACCTCTTGAAAGTTTAAAGTTTAATAAATTGTCAACCAGCACTTTCTCAGAGAGGGATGAAAAGAGTATCAATGTATCCCAATGTGAACTGGCTAAAGGATGGGACCTGCATACTTTTCTTCTCATCAAAGTATCTTTGTCTTGTGTCCTGGGTTTTAATTTTCTCTAGGACCTTGCCTCAGAGCACAGCATTTATTTGCTAATTTGGTTTCTAAAGAATCTGGCTGGCTGGTCCTGGATTACTCCTTTATTCATCTTCATGTATAACTTCTCTTCAAAATATTTCTGAACATTTTATGATTGAGAGCTCAGAAAGGTTTATCTTTTCTCTTGGGAATGAAAGGCTACAGCAAGATAATAATGTTTATAAATAACATTAGCCTCTACTATCCATTCAACATATATTTATTGCTAACGTACTATGTACAATCCTGATGAACAGGTAAAGTTAAAGAGGACAAGATAGTCATAGTCCACTCCTCCATGGAGATTATGATGAAATCAATCAAAACAAGAAATTCATGAATGTGTCAGACAGTGATAACCAAACTTTTAGAGACCAAGTGCCCAAACTGCGACCCAAAACCCATGTATTTATTGCAAAGTGCCAACAGTGCAATTAAACATGAATGCATGGCTGCTGGGGTGATGCTCAGGTGACCTGGCTTGTGTGCCAACAGAGGGCAATGCACATGCTATAGATTTGCCACCACTGATCTAGTACATTGGGTTTCAATTTGAGGAAAACAGAGACAGGGTTCAAACTCACAACCTTGGTGCTTGTCAGGTAGGAGCCAGATCCCTAGCCCAAGAGTTCCTGGCTTCATTAGCAGGCATGAAAAGCACAATATTAAACAAAGTAATGAAATGATGAAATATAGGGATGATGTGCAAGTACCTTAGTAGACAGCAAAGAGCCTGTGGGCTGGTTAGGAAGAACTCCTGAAAAAGGAGATACCTCTAAAGCTGGGTAGCATGGGAGGACAGAGGTAGGATGGGGGACCACCATGAAGAACATGGGCTTAAATCTGCAGATACTAGGGGCTGAGGATTTAGCTCAGTGGCATAAGTGCCTGCTTTGCAAACACGTGGTCCTGAGTTCCATCCCTGGTACTGATAAGAAAAAAAAAATCTGCAGATACTGAGACACTGAGCCTCCCTCCCCCAATTTATGAGAACAGGAGAATGGTGTTTAGCCTCATCCCAGATCTGCATTCTGTCTGCTCTCAAGTCAAGCTATTCTGCTCAATTGAGGTCCTAGTCCCACATCATGTAATATTTAAGAATTTAGTTTTTACATCTGTGCACACAGGATCAGCCTTTGGCTATAATGATTGATCTCGATTTTTTTTTTTTTTTTTTTTTTTGAGATAGGGTCTCGTTTTGTAGCTCAGGCTGGCTTCAAACTCATGGTGATCCTTTTGCCTTAGACTAATGGAGGCATGTGCCACCATGCTTGGCAATCTCGATTTCTTATATTCGCTTTTTATTTGGTTATTGCTTTCCTTAGGTTTTTAATTTTTTTTAACTTTCCTTAGTTCTTTTTTTCTTTCTTTCTTTCCTTAGTTCTTAAGCTAACACCTTGAGTAGAGTCCAAACAGCAGTTCCTCTTCGATTTTAGCTGTTTCTAACTTCTGTGCGAAAGTAATCCAATTTGAGCCATGCAGAACTTTTCAATCATCTGCATGAAGCGGTTTCTTTTTGCGAGTTCAGTGGAAAGTCCTCGGCCAAATCGAGTCTTTAAGTGATTGTTCTGTAAATCCTACGTCCCTGCAGGTTCAGCCCAGGGTGTGTCGGGAATCTGATTTAGCAACATCAATAACTGACTTTTGGAGCGGCCTGCTGCGCCCCCACAGGTAGGTCCCCTGCACCGTCGGCCGGGAACCCAGCAGCCTGCGCTCAGCCTAGCAGTACCAATTCACATCACTGATACTCAGGAGAGCGCGGGGGTTCACGCGCGTTTACTGTTTTTCAAAAACCCACACCAGGTCAGGGATTTAGCTCAGTGACACAGGGACTAGTGACTGCCTAGCAAGGGCAAGATCGTGAGTTCAATTCCCGGTACCACAAATAAATAAATAAACCTCACTAACCCATCTACTTCAACTTGTGCCCTATCAGCGCGATAGGAAGGAGGAGGCTTTTCAGCCAAAGCGCCACGACACTTTCTTTTTTTTTTATTTTTAAATTTTATTTTATTTTATTTTTTTTTTGGTCTTTTTCCTTTTTATCGGTACCGGGGATCGAACTCAAGACTGCCTGCTTCAAGGTAGGCGCTTATGCCGCTGAGGTAAATCTCCAGCCCCCGCCACAAAACTTTCGCGCCAGAAATTTCAAACACTTCAAGAGCCACACCTCTCCGGAACTGGAAGAGGGGCAAGGCCTTGTACGAGTCTATTACATCAAGGGGGCAGGGCCACAGCAGAAACTTCAACTCCCAGAGTGCAGCGCAGCGCTTCCTGTTTCCGGCGAGAGGGCCAGAGGGAGTGTTTACACCGGCGGCTCAGCGGCCGGCTTCCTTCCGCGGGACGGGTGAGGGCGTTGGGACCCTGTTCGCGCGAGCTTGGTGTGGGTCGTGGGTCGACTAGATAACTGCTCCCACAGGAGAGGTGGGGTCACCAGCAGATAGTGTCCCTTCCCGCACCAGTAACTATCAGCGTCTTTGGGCCGAGGGACTTCAGATTCTGAGTCTTGATTTTCTCACCTGCAAACTGGGGATGATCGTGCCTGCCCCAGGGAACAGTTGTGAGGAGTGAGACTGGCGTACTAGAAGGCCGACTCTTTCCTTATTCTGAAGCTGGAGGTGGGCGATGCTTTGAGGCTGCTTAAAGTCTAATCAGACTTAGCATTTTATTTCCCGCTTTCAAAGCAATAATGGTTTTAACTAGGGCTTGCCTTGCAAGACTTTCAACCTCAGATGTCTGTTTTGACTTATTTTCCAGGCACCCATATACGTCAGACTTCGGTACAACAAAGGCAAAAAATTCTAGTGATTTTCAAGTATTGGGGACCTGTGTGGGAGTGCTAGTGGGAATTTGAGAAATACATTTATGGTTTTTTTTTTTTTATAACGATACCAAAAAGCATTTTTTTTTTTAAACCGTGGGTGTAACCCTTTTTCAGTAGAAGGATAAGTCTTGTTGAAATAACAGAAAAGAAGGGGGCAAAGCCGGGCGTGGTGGCTCAGGAATGCTGAGATGGGAGGATCGTTGCGAGTTGGAGACCAGCCTGGGCTACAAAGTGAGCTCAAGGTCAGCCTGAACTGCATAGCGAGACCCCGTCTCAAAAAAGACAAAAAAAAAAGAAAAAAGGGGGCAGAGGAGGTTGCATTTGCATTTGTCTTGGTAGGCCTTTCCTGAGAAGCCTAAAAGTAAGAGAACTTATATGCAAAGTCAGGATTTGAGATGTAAGTTGGAGAGCTTTGTTATGAATGGAGACGTAGTGAGATGTGTTAATCGCTGGACAGTGAGGCAGAGCCAGGCTTAGTTAGTGAAAAGTGGCAGCAGATGGACCTAGTGATTTTGTAAGGTAGCCTGCACTGTTTAGATTTATTCATAGAGATGGTTTGGAGCCATTAGAGAAGCTGTAAGCAGAGAAGTTACTTTTTTTTTTTTTTCTTTGTGGTACTGGGGATCGAACTCGTGACCTTGCTCTTGCCAGACAGGTGCTTATGCCACTGAGCTAAATCCCCAGGCCCCAGAGAAGTTACTTGATCAGATTTATTTTATTTTATTTATTTATTTGCGGTACCGGGGATTGAACTCAGGACCTTGCCTTTGCCAGGCAGGCGCTTATGCTACTGAGCTAAATCCCGGCCCCATCAGATTTATTTTAAAATGATGACTTGGATGGCAGCATAGATCTTTTTTTTTTTTTTTTTTTTTTTAATTTTTATTTTTATTTATTTATTTTTTTTGGCAGCATAGATCTTTGACAGAGAGAGGCAAGAAAGGCTTGTTATAAACCAGTCATATTAGTTGAGAGTTGAAGAAGTCCAAAATAAGGAACACATAGAAGGGAGAGCTTGAATAATTTCACTTGAACCTTATAACAATCCTATCAGGTTTGATGGTAGTTTATTTTTACTTTAAAGATGAAGCAGCTAAGCCAGGCATGGTGGCACATGCCTGTAATCCCAGCACTCGGGAGGCTGAGATGGGAGGATCATTGTGAGTTTGAGACCAGCCTGGGCTACAAAGTGAGCTCAAAGCCAGCTTGAACTGCATAGTGAGACCTTGTCTCAAACACACACACACACACACAAGCACACAAAGATGAAGCAACTGATGTCCAAAGAGCTAATTTCCTGGCTATCCATGATACAATCAGTAAAAAGAGAGGATATCAGATTCTAGTTCTGGCCTGGTACTGCATCTGGTACTTCTCTATCAGTGTCACACTCAAATGTCTCATTCAAAGCTTTGACGGGTGGGAGTGAAGTAGGGTGGGGGGATCTGCCCAACTACTAAGGCTTTATTTTTTTACAGGGAGAAAGAGAGAGCGTGAAAGAGAGAGGATGTCTCTCTCAGACTGGCACCTGGCGGTGAAGCTGGCTGACCAGCCTCTTGCCCCTAAATCTATTCTTCAGTTACCAGAGACAGAGCTGGGAGAGTACTCACTAGGAAGCTATAGCATTTCATTTCTGAAGCAGCTCATTGCTGGCAAACTCCAGGAATCTGTTCCAGACCCGGAGCTGATTGGTGAGTCTCTGTGAGCTGGGTTTGGACTGCTGCTTTGATCTCTTTTGGGGGAAGATACTTCTGGAATTACAAAAGTAAATTAAAGGTTTGAGATTTGCTTTTTCCCAGTGTTAACACTCCAGAGAAGTGAGGGTTGAGTGAGAAGCACAATTTATATAATGAAATTATTGGTTGCCATTTCAGTCATGTGTGACTACTTTATCACAGTGAAAGAACTACTTTTTCATGAAGTTCCTAAACTGAGATTTTTGAGTTCTCTGAAAGTACAAATATTTGGCAAAGAAAAGAGCTATTGATCAAGGAGGCTTCTCAGTAATCCCTTAAATCTTAAGGCATGATTACAAAGATTTTGTTTTTTTAATTGATTGATTAGAGGGATGGCAGAAGAAAGGAAATGAAGATGGTAAGGGCATTCCAAGAGGAGGAAGAAGAAATTCAAGTATACTATAATGAGATTATAATGTTGATGTAATTTTTAATGGCTAGATGTTCCAATTGATGAAAAAGGAACTTTCTGTCACACCTGGTTTGGGTTCATCCTTATTGGTTGTATGTTTCTTTTGTTTAAGTTGAGCCATGTCCATAGTATTTTTTTTTTTTAATTCAACTTACTTATGGAGGGTTTTTTTTTGGGTCTTTTTGAGACAAGTTGTGGCTGTGCAGTTCAGGCTGGCCTTGAGCTCATTTTGTATTTTGTAGCGCAGGCTGATCTTGAACCTGTAATGATTCTCTTACCTCAGCCTCCTGAGTGCTAAGATTATAGGCTGCCACCATGCCTGGCTCATGTCCGTAGGATTAAGCTCCAGAATTCATTTATTTGGTTTGTTTGTTTGTTTTTTTGGAGACAAGATCTCACTGCGTACCCCAGACTGGCCTAGAATTTGCAGGGCCTCCTGTCTCATCTTCCTGAGTGCTGGAAATACAGGCATGAACCACAGTGCTCAACCTAACTTTATGAGTCTTTTTTTAGAAATAAGGTCTTGGGACTGGGGGTTTAGCTCAGTGGCTTAAGCGCCTGCCTGGCAAGCACGAGGTCATGAGTTCGATCCCCGGCACCAGAAAAAAAAAAAAAAAAAAGAAAAGAAATAAGGTCTCGCTGTGTAATTCAGGCTGGCCTTGAACTTGAAGCAGTTATCCTTATGTCATACTTTACCTATCTGTCCAATCAAAAGAAAGTTCTCAGGGACAGAAACCATCTACATTGTTTTGAGAAACAAAATATAAATGGACAGTGCTTTTTAGATCTGATCTACTGTGGCCGCAAGCTAAAAGATGACCAGACACTTGACTTCTATGGCATTCAGCCAGGGTCCACAGTCCACGTTCTGCGCAAGTCTTGGCCTGAGCCTGACCAGAAACCAGGTGAGTGAGGCTTGACCCTTTGTCAGACCAGCAAAGTTTCTGTCATCTCTCCAAGGGAAGAGTCTGGTGATTCTCGAGGGATAGGCCTGGGTGGAACACAAGGTGATTTACCAAGGGCGTTGCTGATCTTTATTATTTAATAAGTTACATTTTGTTATTGCTAATACCACTAATGGTAGGAGATTCATTGCTTATTTTCTAGATTCACTACCCACTCTTTTTCTAATGGGATAAGGAATGTGTGTCTATTTAAACTCTATTTCTCAGTTAACTTTTTATCCTTTATTGTTATAGTTGTTACTTTCCTTAGAAAATAGCTGGAAATTTCTGGCACTCCTCTAATGCAGTATACTTGTTTGTTCTCTTTACTATGCAAATCCTCTTACCTTGGGGTGATTTGTTCAGTCAGCTAACGCTTTCTGATGTATGGCTAATTTATTTTCCAGGAACTATTCCGATAGCATTAATGTAGTTCTTGGTGAAAATATATAAAACCTTTAGAGCCTTTGTGATTTATTAGTAGAAAGGGCCGATGGAATTCATAATTTAAATTTTGTATTTATGTCTTAAAGTCTTCAGTAAGAATAAAACTAAGCTATGTAGAAGATACTAGCTTTGTTAAACTGACATTTTGATATATTTTTATAATGTTTGTGATTGCTATGGCTAGTTATCCCCTGAAATTTATCCCCTTTTTAATTCTAAACACGAAGGACAAAAGCATCACCCTTTTTACCTTGATGGGAAAAGGGAAGGAAAAGGCAGCCCCTGACACCTAAGAGTAGGCTTGATATTTAGCCTTGGACTCCTTTGTTGGCATAGGTCACCAACATTAGACATTTCTGAGACCATCATGGATCAAGACAAGAATAAGCTCCCCCTCATTTCTGAACAGAGACCAATACCTGCACATTGTCCTGGCCACAGAGTAAACACATGTCCTTTTCTCCTGGCTCATAAGAGTGACTGCTGCTTCTTCACTAATTATAGCTTTCACCTTGCTCTGGTTTTCCTTCCATAATTATTACAAAACTCAGCCCTAAAATTACCTCCACTTTTGGACAGCATCCAAACCAGAGTAAAATCCTGCTTCCTTCTAAATTACCCAGGCAAAGCTCAAATCCTATTCTGTCTCTTTAGCATCTCCTCCTTGAGATGCCCCAAGTTCCCTGTGGCGTCATTCTCCTCTGTTTACTGAGCAGCAAGGCCAGTTCACAACAGAGCCAGGTGTGTCCCTTGGCTCCTGGGCTGTAGGACACTGATAGGAGCAAAGGAACATTCCTGGCTCCTGTAAGTCAGGTGTTTTCAGTATCTCACATAATCATGACAGTGTCTCTGCAGTCACAGTGATGAAGAGAGTTGGAAAGCTTATTTATTCAAGGTCACCTTAGCCATGATTGTAGGAGCTGGGATATGGACCTAGGTTTTCCTGGCTCAAGAGTGCATGTCTTTCCACCCGGCTGGCTCCTTCCCTTCCCAAACTGTACGCTTGGCTCAGAGTTGTTACAGAGATGTTCCATCCTCTTAACTGATTGTCAGCTTGGGGGTCTTCAGAGTCCTTTTCCTCCCATCTCCTGCCTGGAGATATATTTTTGAAACAAATGGACTTTTTATTGGAAGAGGTGAAAATAAATTTTTTGCTTAGAAAAGAAATGTTTCGTGGCAATACTTAAGGTATTTTTTGCTTTGGCACTCTTTCAAAAGGAAGCACATTTTTTGTTCTCCCATGGCAGGGACCAGAGAGCCTGTAAGAAGAGAACCTGTCAGCTCTGAATCTTTCTGGTGGTTGCCTGTGGCGGCTTACAGATACTGTCAAGCTCTCCATTTAGTCTGCTAGTTGACGCGTACTCCGAGCTCCAGCCACAACAAAGCGACTCACTGTTCCTTCAGAGCACCACATTCCTCTGCCTTGCCTTCGCACCTGTTCTCTCTTAGGCTTGGAGGCTGGCCCCTCTTCCTGTGTATATAGGTGCACGCACAAGGACTCTACCTCAGGTGCCCCTCACAGATGGCTCCTTTGGAGGTAGTACTGGCTCCCAGCCTTCCCCCAGGGATGACTCGAACCTTAGCTGGGTTCCATATCCCTGCTGGGACCTCAGCATGATAGTTGGTAATTGTGAGTTTGTGTTTGATTTAGTTGTATTTTTTCTTACTACCTTGATATCCATGGTGGCAGATTTTTTTGTGTGTTGTTTTATTTTCTTGTTAAGAGTAGGAAAATTTATTGGAAAATAGGAACAGCTCCTGGGAGACAGGAGGGGTCCCAGGTGGGTTGCCTGGCAGAGATTCTTATTTTTCACATTCCTCTTTTACCTAAAGCCAGGCGCAGGGTAAATGCTCAGTACGCATTTGACAAATCAATACTTAAGATGCTGTTCTTCAAAAGACATAGCCATCATGTTTAGGGCTATAGATGAGGACATGACTGTTCTACTGAACTCCAGAGATGGCATGCACTTTGCCCTGGGAATGGTGCCCCCCCCCAAGCCAGGCAGTATCATCTGTACAAGCACGAATGGCTGGCCTGAGTGAGGACAGTCACACTTTAAAAAGTGTGACCCATACTGGGTGTGGTAGTACACACCTATAATTCTACCTTTTGGGAAGCAGAGGCAGGAGGGTTGCCTTGAGTTTAAAGCCAATCTGGGCTGTGAGTTCAAGGGCAGCCTAAACTACAAAGCAAGATCCTGTGTTTAAAAAAGGATGGCTTACAGGAAGTTTCTTTTCTGCACAAGAGTCTGCTGAGTTGATTGGTCCTCCTTTTTTAAATGTAGGAAGTGTTGGATTCCTGCAGTGAGGTGTTGGTCAGAACAGTCCTTTTCATGTGGTAAGGTTCCCATTTGATGGAACTTGAATTTGTTTATCTACTAACATTACTTAAAAGACCATCCCATTTTCACATCTGTGGTACAGTGGGTCTTTCTGAATGGGCACTCAGATTCTTAGAGGGTGATGGAGGGAATGTGCAGTCCAGGCTGCCCCTGGGCACATGCTGAAATGATGCTGGCATGTCTATGGCAGGGACAGGACCTGGGCTGCAGGGTAACTGAATATCTTCTGCCCCAGAACCGGTGGACAAAGTGGCCGCCCAGAGGGAGTTCCGGGTGCTGCACACTGCCCTGCACAGCAGCTCCTCCTACAGGGAAGCGGTGAGTATGCACCAAGGTCCTGGGAGAGGGTGTCAATGCCTGCTGGAGTAGAGCCGGGAAGCCTGTTGCCAAGGCAACCAGGAGTTCCTCTGGGAGTTTCTGCCATGTCTTTGGGCCTCTGTAGAGCCCTGTCTTTCTCTGAAGAACCTGTCTCAATCAGGCATTGGCTGAGACAGCAATCGTTAGATTCTCTCTAATGGTGATAATCACCCTCTCCTTACATTAGCCTTATGGAAAGAATATGGTGGATCCATACACTGTTTCTGCCCAACCTCCTCCTTTGATTTTAACTGAGCTGCTTGCCTGTCCACCCTTAGCATAGATTTCCTCACTGGGGAAGTGGGCTGTGGTCTATCTATAGGAGAGTTGACAGGCAATGTTAATATAGCTGTGAACTTCCTAATAAATGCAAGTGCGAAATAGTAATTGTATGGTGATTGAAAAGAACTTGGGGAACCTGGTGAAACCTTTGTTTTTGGACTTGTAATGAGAGCTTTATTTTGGAAGTATTAGAAAGGACCACAGAGATTGCAGCTTTACTGGGCCTTTTTTTAAAAACAATTTTTTTTCCCCTTCTGGTAAGCCTTGATCTCAGAGCAGAAAGGCCCATCTATTTCTCAAGCTGGTTTTCCATTGTGGTGATAGATGTGCAGGCACTTAGAGGGCAGAGCCCTTCAGCAGAGGGTGAGTGTCTGAGATATGGAGCTGGCTGCAATGCTCAGCCTTCCTTCCTTCTTCGTTAGGTCTTTAAGATGCTCAGTAATAAGGAGTCTCTGGACCAGATCATTGTGGCCACTCCAGGCCTCAGCAGTGACCCCATCGCTTTAGGTAAGTTCAAGGGAGACTTGAGGAAATAGGATTTGGAAAAGGAGAAAACAAGAGAAGGCAGTGACCCTGAAGAGGCTCTGACCAGCTTTTAAAGAATTGGTCCTGTAGGGAAAGAAAGAATAATCAAGATGTGTCACATTCCCAGCCCTAGGAGCTCTCAGTCGTCCAGAGTGATAATGGCCTAAATAACTTCATAAATTGTAGCCTAACGGTACCCAGTGGGTGACGTTAGCCTGAATCCCAGCAGTCAGGGAAGCCTTCCTGCACATCTTGATGGCTAAGGAAAGAGCCCAGAGATGAAGGAAGAAACAGGTGTGCGTTTTTCAGTCCGTGACTTAAGTACATGGGAGGTGGGGAGCACAGAGCATCCCCACTGGGACATGGTAGAAAGCACTTGGGTTGTGCTGCCTGGGGCTTTGTTTCCTCTGCTTCTTACCAGAGCTGGTTTTGGTTCTATTGAGCTGGTTGCTCTAAGCCCTAAAAGCCTTCTGGACCAGGCCAGATTTCTGCTCTCTGAGGAAATCCCTGTTCACTTTCAGGAGTTCTCCAGGACAAGGATCTCTTTTCTGTCTTTGCTGATCCCAACATGCTAGATACGTAAGTATAGCCATCATTGAAGGGCACCTTCTCTTGCTTCATGTGGTTATGCCAGAATCCTAATTGTCACCCTAGATTCTGTTCTTCGATCCTGTCCTGAGTCTGTCCCTTGGATCTGCTTTCTAAATGTGTCAGGAAGGGAGAAAGATCAAGGGATCAGGGAAAGTGGCAAAGCCGCAGCGCAGAGACATCCAAAAGGCTCAGGATGCAGCAGCTTCCTGAGGGAGAGGGGTCTGCTTGCCAGGTGGTTTGGATTTTGTTCTTCAGTAGATGTTAGGGAGCCTTGGGAGGACTCAGCTAGGAGAAGGAGAAACAGGTGAGCAGGTCCATAAGATAATTAGCATTGCTGTATCCCCTTATCTTTTTTTTTTTTAAACCGGGGATTGAACTCACGAGCTCACACTTGCCAGGCAGGTGCTTATGCCACTGAGCTAAATCCCTGGCGTCCCTTTAAGAAGACAGCCCTACTCTGGCGGGGGGTGAGGTTATCAAAGGTTGCCAGCACAATACGGATGGCGTCCAGATCAGATGCTGAATGCTAAGGCTACCAGGATGCTGTTTCCCATCATGCCTTGCTGGAAGTGACAGGGAGGATTGCACTGAATCCCAGAAATCAAGGGCCTTGCTGCAACTGCTGTGGGGAGATCTGCAGGACAAAGCTTCCTGAGAGGAGGTGCTAAAGATTGAGGGATTCCAGGGCAGGCATAAGCAGTTTGTCCTCAGATCACCTAGAACTGTCACAGCTAGGGTACTCTTTCCTTCTTAGTCACCCTTGGATTTCTTCTAGATTGGTGCCTGCTCATCCAGCCCTGGTCAATGCCATCATTCTGGTTCTGCACTCAGTAGCAGGCAGCACCCCAATGCCTGGTGCTGACGCCTCTTCTCGGAGCATGCCTTCTGGCTCCTACCGGGATATGCCAGGTGAGCCCAGAGGAGCAGGCGTGGGCCCCTCAGGAGCTGGTAGTGCCCAGGTTTGCTGTGCTCAGCAGCTATGTATAGCATTGGCAGAGGGCATTCCTTGGGAGCTCTTGGTTTGAGTCAGGAAGTGCATCTGTCCTGTAATTTTCCGAGGGGAGTGATGAAGTATGAATTTGGAACGTAACGAGCTGAGATCTGGAGCTGCGCCTGTGCCTTTGTGTTCTTTCTTCTGAAATCTGTTCTCTCTCCTCCAGGTGGCTTCCTGTTTGAAGGGCTTTCAGATGATGAGGAAGACTTTCACCCGGTAAGTAGCCTGGCCGTCTACCCTCTAGGGAGATGCTGTTGGGCACAAGCCCCTCCCTGGGATGTGGCATTTCCAAGGCTGGGAAGTGGTCCTAGGCCAGAGGTGGCAAGCCTGTAGCACACATGCTGCGGCAGGCTGTTTGTATCATTGACAGCTCTAAGAAGTTTGCCATCACTGTCTTAGGCCTTTTGGGGTCCAAAACCATATTGTACTATTACTTCCCTATATTCCTAATGGACTTCTGTTCTTGGAGTGGATGGGGTTTCTTTGGGAATTTCACTATGTCACCTCCCTGATTCTAGACATCTTCTTTCCCCAGAGCACCCGGTCTACACCCTCTAGCAGTACCCCCAGCTCGCGCCCAGCATCCCTGGGGTACAGCGGAGCTGCTGGGCCCAGGCCCATCACCCAGAGCGAGCTGGCCACTGCCCTGGCCCTGGCCAGCACTCCGGAGAGCAGCTCTCACACACCAACTCCTGGCACTCAGGTATAGAGACAGGACGGGGAACCTCAAGGCAGGGCCCAGGGAGAAGCTCCTGGTAGCAGACAGATTTGTTTTTGTTGATCCCAGTGTGAGATCTGCTTTGAGCTGAGGAGGAATTTCTTACTGCAGAGCAGTGGGTTTCTGCCTTCACCTGCCTTTAGGCAGAAGTACAGGATTTAGCACAGGCCTGGTTGGGTAGTTAAGAAGAAACTACCGCTATGTGATATGCCATTCCTCATCCCTGATAGACTAGGTGTCACTGGCTTCCTGATGGCAAGTCATCCCAGCTTCTAAGAGCATCTTCCCTGGTAATGGGTTCTTGTCAGTGGGTAGAGGACTCAGAATCCGTTTCCTTGGAGCAAAGGAGAGTGGAACCTTTCCTGTCCGCCTCGATATCAGTGTGGTTGTCTCCTCAGGGGCCCTGTTGGGAGGTGATAGTTGGCTAACCCGGGAGTGCTATGGGATGATGTGACAACAGTGGCTATCTGTCCTGGAATAGCAGTGGCTCTGAGGTGGCATTGACTGCTGTTTTTCTCTAGGGCCATTCCTCAGGCACCTCACCAATGTCCTCTGGAGTCCAATCAGGGACACCCATCACCAACGATCTCTTCAGCCAAGCCCTCCAGCATGCCCTGCAGGCCTCTGGACAGCCCAACCTCCAGGTCAGTCTTCCTGCTTCCTGTGTCTACCACATTACTTAGCATGCCAGACCTGTCTTGCATTCTAGAGGTCCTTCCCACTGGCATGTTTCACTCTAGGGACAGTAGAGGCAGTGGCAGTATGGCAGGTGAAGTGTGCCCTAGCAGGGATAGCTGTATCCCTGGCTTCTGTTCCTGTCCCCCAGCGACTATGGCCCAGTTCCCTTGATTGCCTGGCCTGGATCCTCATGGCGGTTTCAGTCACTAAGCTCTAGTATGTACTGAGCCCAGGTGCGTATGCCAGCCTGTCTTCCCTCCTGCCATGGAGGGTACCAGGCAGGTACAGAACTGAGATGCAGCAAGATCTGCTGCTTGACATACAGGCCGAGGCCAGCAGAACCTTTCTGAGGAAGCAGTGTTAAGGCTGTCATGGGAGAATTATTTAGAGGCAGGGGACAGGTTGGTGGTAGAGAGGGATAGTTTCCAGGCAGAGGGAACTACCTGTCTGAGCACGTGTCCCCACACATCTGTGACCTTCTCTGTGTAGAAGGTCCTGAGTTGGAGCTAGAGGGAGGCAAAGCAGAAGCCTCGAGCTGAGGGGCTTAAACACCACCTAAAGGAGATTGACTTGGTCACCAGGGAGGGGAAGTCACTCTAGCAGCTAGTGAAAGATCTAAAGTGTCAGCATTTATTACAGTTCTTCATGCATGGGCTGCTTGCTTTCTGTGGCCTTTATTCTTTCCAGTGAGCCTGTTGGGGGCAGGCCATTCCTGCCACTTGTCCATCTCAAGAAGTCATGAAGTAGCAGGAATAGGATTTAGCCTGTGTGGGTTCCCTATCCCATGTGGCCCTCGTGGATGTTGAGGAGAAAGGATGCAAGACACATGGGTAGCTTTTCTCCCCTATTTCTGCCTTCTCCACTAGATGCCTGTTCACTTGGCTCTCGGCACAGAGTTTTCCTTGGCTCTGCCCGGCTGTCAAATGAGTGCGAGTTGATATGTGCTTCCTTTAAGCCTCACGCAGTCTTACCCTGCCTGCCTCCCTGCATTTGCATCCTTCCCTGTTGCCTTCTCCTTCCCATGTGTGAACTCACTGTTTTCCATAAGTTGTGTACTTAGGGATGTTAATAAGCTGTGAAAGTCCTAGAAGAAGATGTGGCTGAGTTTCTCGAAATCCTGTAGGAGAAAAGGCCTTTTATGGCTGAAATTCAGAACCCAGAAGCTATTAAATAAGGATTATAAGTGTCGGCTGTATAAAAGTAAACCTGGGCTGGGAAGTTAGCTCAAGCATCTGTTTGTTAAGTATGAGGTCTTGAGTTGGATCCTTGGTACCAAAAAAAGAAAAAAAAAGTAAATAGTAGTGGGCATGGTGGTGCATGCCTGTAATCCCAGCACTTAGGAGGCTGAGGCAGGAGGATCAACATGAGTTTGAGGCCAGACTGGGCTACATAGTAATTTCAAGACCAACTTGGGGAGCTGCGGATTTAGCTCAGCAGCATAAGCACCTGCCTTGCAAGCAGGTAGTTGTGAGTTCGATCCCTGGTACCGATAAAAAGGAAAAAGACAACAAAAAAAAAAAGAACTTGGGCTACACAGTACCATTCCATTTTAAAAAACTTAAAACAAAAAAAAAAAACAAACATACTTCTTGGCATATACAACTCAAACAATGGCAAAATCTAAGCGAAGTATAAGAGCTAGCAATAAACTGAAGGTCAGTAACACATGTCACATGAAGGATAACATCTAAATATGTAGATTCTGGAACTTTAAGAACAGTAACCATGTGGAAAAATGGGCAAGGAAAGGGGCAGACTAATTGCTGAAAAGGAAATACAAGGGACGGTTAAACCATATAATTCCTAGCATTTCCCTTTCTTGGAGTTTGTCAGGAGATGTTTGTTCATGTAGAAAATGGCATTTTTGCAGAGTTGGTCACCACAGCATTGTTGATAATAGAAAAGATTGGAAACAGCCCAGCTTTGGTAGATTTAAGGACATTGGTGGGTTGGAATATTATATAATTATCAAAAAGTTTTTTATTGTTCTAGCATGGGGAAGCTCTCCAGGGTAGACTGGATATGTTTGAGAAATAAAGAGGGGTAGGGTTGGTATAGAACAGGGGTATAAGGAAAGAGTAAATATGGAACTATGTATTTCTGTTTCCTCAAAGGAAATAATATTGGTTATCTAGGGGAGGGTGGGAGTACGTGTCAAGCTTTTCAATATCTATCATTAAAAAACACAGCTAGTAAGCACCTGCCTGTCAAGTGTGAGGTCATGAGTTCGATCCCCACTACCAAAAAAAACCCCCACAAAAAACACAGGTAGTTTTAGAATTTAATCCTTCTCTCATTTGTGTGTGTGTGCAGAGAGCAGCAGAAAAAGCAGTTTAATCTTTCAGAATTTAGACCTTGAGTAATTCATGCTTTCTCCTTTGATCTTTTTTACTGTGTGCACTCTGTTCTCTTCAACCTCAAGCCTATCTTTTCATCTTCCTAAGCCCCTGCACTGTGGACCTGCACACCAGCAACCTTGTGGAGCTCCCTGTTTTTGGCTCTTTCCTCTGACAGCACCGAGAGGTGAGTCTTCATCCACATCCTGGCTAACAGCCTCTTCCTCCCTCTCTCCACAGAGCCAGTGGCAGCCCCAGCTGCAGCAGCTGCGGGACATGGGCATCCAGGATGACGAGCTGAGCCTGCGGGCCCTGCAGGCCACTGGAGGGGACATCCAAGCTGCTCTGGAGCTCATCTTTGCTGGAGGCGCCCCATGAGTTCCCTGTTCCTCTTGTTCCACTGGTTAGGGGCCCTCCTGAAGGTGCCTCTACATCCCCTGCCAATATACTCAGTGATCAGCTCTCTTGCTTTGTCTAGTGCTTGGTCTTTCTGGCTACACTGAGCTGATGGTGGCAGTGGGCAAGCAAGGTGTGCAGTCTTGGTTCCAGCCCGGGATAGAGGCTTTTAGACCCATGTCATGAGATGCTGTGTGACACTTACGCTCACCCCTGGGACAGGTGTCCTATGATAACCCTTGGATTCTTCAGTGCTTTGGGATTTGGCCATCTCAGGATATGCCCAGGGAGGCTTGGGCTTCTGAGATGCCCCCAGTTGAGGCCAGGTGGACATTCAAGAAGAACAGAAAAGCCTTCTACGAAGCTCCTTGTCCGTGCCCTGGCCTTGATTTACCAAGCATCCTTTGCTGTCTGTTCTGTAAAGATGCCAGAATCCTGGCTTCAGAGCTGTTCGAGGCTGGGCCCTCTGTGTCCTGAACACATAAATACAAGAGCAATTAAATAACAATGCTGACATCAACACACACAGGGCTGAGCTTTAATATTGAAGAAAGGGCACCAACTCCCAGCTGCTACCCCCTCCCTTTCCCCTTGGCACACATTCCACATGGCATCCTGCACACGGCACCTTGAGTAAACGAGTCTCATGTTCGTTGAGTACTTTGTTAGGAAGAAACGCCTTCCCCTCTGCTGGTGCTTGGTTTATCTGGGAACTAGCTGGGGTGGGAAGGAGCCCAGAGGTCCCTTTCTGCCCTGTTCTTTCTGTCTATAGTCATGGCCACTTGGCCTTTGCTTGTGTCCTCTTGGTACAGAAGGCTTACTACTGTAAGGTCAGCCTTGAACTCTTTCCCAGAGAACTTGCCCCTTAATCCCCTTTCTGCTCTGTGGAGCCACACAGGATAAGCCTGCTCACTCTGCGACATCGGGGCTGTAGTTCCTGGCAGAGAGGTGGTGATTCACTTCCCACTGTGACCCACCTTCCTGTCTTGTTCCCCAGCGTACCCCGTTCTCTTCTGTGGATGACTGGTTTGTCTGCTTCTTTGTAAGAGAAGTGCTCTAAAGAACCCAGTCTCCCACATGTATCCCGAACATTCTTTGTCTCCTTTAGAAAATTATCTAAGTCTCTGCACATTTCCTTTGCAACCCTGGATTGATGTTGAAAGGTGTTTGCCTTGGCTAGGAACTCTCCAGCCTCTGGATTCTGGGCCTCTGTGCCTCAGTGGCCTGTCTGGAGCCCATCTGGCTTGTGGTTGGGAGCACAGACCAGAAATCTGTCTTTGAACCCCCGTGTCTCTTACCCATTTGTGGTAGAGCAAAGGCACTGTTCCATCTCATGGGACTGTGGTGATAAAACTGGGCTGACACAGCCCTTCCTCTCCCTGTGATCTAGTCCCAATGACCCAGGCTTCGTAGGGCTGGTTCCAACCTATGCCCTCTCCTTCCCTGCCCCTGAGGCCCTTGAGAGTGCCTGGGCTCCTGAGTCCCCATCCTGCCGTGCGGCAGAATATTTGGGTCACCCTGTCCTGTAGCCCCAGCCAACCTCACATACCCATTTACGGTTTCCCGGAATTGAGCCACCCCCAGTTTGCCTTTCCCTTCTTTGTCCAGTCTTTCCTCTGGGTGCTGGCACTTCGGCTGTGCTTCCTGTGGCCAAGTTTTGAGTAGCGTGTGTTGGGTTTCATAAGTGCCCCACTGGGACTGGGACTTTCCATGGGTCAAGGGTTTTTCTCACCAACCCTTTCATGCTTCTACCAAACACTGATTGAGCCTCTGCACCAGGTAAACATGGTGGCGGCCCAGCTCTCAGTGCCATGTTGTTGGTAAAAAGCAAACACGTTCGCACAAAAGCCAAGGAGAATGAGCCAGAGAAGTACAGTGACTGTGGCTTTTAGGAAAGGAGTGAGTTAGGTTAGGGCTTGTGTGATGAGAAGGTTCTTTGAGAAAGAGGCAATCAAGCTGAGATGGGAAAAAGAACCTAACGGTACATGGCTGAGCGGGCTGGGAGAAGGGAGAGAATAAGGCTCCTGCAGCCCAGTATTGGGGTAGATAGCAAGGCAGGACCATGTAGGATTTGGGCAAACCCTGAGGACCACAAGGAGTCAGAATCTTAATTGGGAGGGAGTCAGTTTTGGACATTGGAAAGGTCAAGTCAGGCATGATGACGCACACTAGTAATCTCAGAAGCTGAGCCAGGAGGATCGTCGCAAGTTCAAGACCAGCCTGGGCTAAAATACAAAAAATTACTCTGGTTGGTGGGCAGTAGTTCAATTCAGGGGCTAAATTTGAAGGAAGAAGATCACAAGGAAGTAGAGGCAGTGATGCACATAGAACAGGAGGAGGGTTGGCAGCAGTGGCCTGGGGAGAACAGCTTCAGGGGCCAGGGTTGATGTCTCATTGCTTTGGATTTGCACTGTTATCCCCATTCAACAGAGAACACCAAGGTTAAGAGGTGGAGATCCTCTCCACAGTGCGTGACTAGGAAGGGACAGTTAGAAGCTGATGCTTTTCCTCCAGTTACCCTTAGCCTTGGATGAACTGGAGATGAGGGTTCAGTAGGCTGAGGTGTTCTGGTTTTATCTGGAGAGCAGGGAACACCCCTGGAATGGCTTGAGGCAGGGCCATGGGGAGCAGACTTGCATGTGAGATAATCTGACAGCTGCCTGGGGGCTGGATTTGTGGGAAGTGAGACTGGGGGTGGGCGACCAGTTAGGAGGCTTACAGTCTCCAGATGGGACATGGAAGGGGGGCTCCACTAGAGCTGTGGCAAGAGAGTCGACGGAGGGGAGGTGTGAAGGACAGACTCTATCTGGGGGCGAGGAGGAGGGAAGAGGCAGGATGAGAGTGGGTAGATGACAGTGCGGTAGGAATAAAGAACTGGGGTTAGGATTTGGAATGCAAGACCAGTTTGGGGCACATTGAGTTTGAAGAGACTGCCAGGCAAGGAAGTCCTGTAGTCAGTTGGATGTCCCTGAGCTGATAGTGATCAGGAAGTTCAAGGTTGGGCTTGCATCATGAAAGAAGACAATTCAACTTTTCAGGGAAAAGCAGAGGAAAAAGGGAAATCACTAAGGAGTTAGGTGTTACAGGAAACAGTAACTAGTAGGTAGGAGGCTTGGAGGGGGCAGCGTCTGCTGCTTCCGGGAAGGTGGGAACCAGGGTTAGCAAAGTGCAGGGAGTGGAAGGAGCTGGGTGAAGAGGGCATGGTCGAGGGTGTTACACACCACAGATAGTAACAGAGGGCTGACCTTGGACCTAACCAATTGGGACTATGGTGACCTTGGGAGGTGTCACATTGGAACCAGAGCCAGCTTTCAGGGGTTGAGGGCTGAATGTGGGGCACAGCCAAGGCAGAGGGCAGAGAAGCTTGGGGACCTTGGGAGAGGGCAGCATTGGAGGGGAGATAGGATTCAGCGTGTGTGCAGTTCAGCAGAGGTGAAGTTGGAATTGATCACGAGAACTTTTCTAGGAAGCTAAGGGGAAAAAAAAAGACCCCAAAATAGAATATGCAAATATGCAGAGATGGGTGTTTTCTGAACAGATCCCTTCTCCTGATATAACTCAAATTTGGCTGGGCTGACATGGGCTGGGCTGGCACAGCTTGCTGGGCACATGGGCCCAGGTTCTGCTCCTCGCCTCAGCCCCATCTGGCCTGGGCCCCAGACCAAGTCCCCAGATCTCTGCCCTGAGGTGGCATCTTACTTCCTCTGCCACGGACCTTGGCAGTAAATATTTGCTGAGGCCAATGGGGGCTTTATTTAGGCCCCTTCTTTTCCCTAACAGCTTGACCCCACTTTGGGCCTGAGCTTGATTCAGGTCAGCTCAGCAGCGGCTTCCACCCCCACTCCCCTGGCCTCAGCCCTGTCTTGCTCCCTCCCATAGGCCCAACAGTGGCGGTAACAATTCAGCTTCCTGTGTGCTTGAAACACCTTTTGCAGCAACCCCGGCACAGGCCTGCACTACCTTGGCAAGCCTGGCTAACAGCAGGGCGGTACAATAGTGCTCATTTATCAGGCACCCTCTCTGTGCCAGGCACTGAGCTCAGCACAGCATGCACCGTCTCAATTGATCCTCATAACAGTCCTGAGGGCATGTTATTATCCCCCTGTACAGTGAGTGCTTCCTGTTAGGAGATTCGGCCTTTCCAGACTTGGATGAGAGTGTGTCCGCCACGATTCCATCAGTGACCCCACCTGGCGCCCTGTGTCTGCCTGGCAGGCCTGGAAGACACTCAGAGGCTGAAGAGTCTGCAAACCACTCATCTTGGAAGTGGCAGCTCAGCTATTGGAAGGTAGTTAGGCTTCTGAGTCAGACTGACTAAGGTTTAGATCAATTTCCACAGATAACCTAAATTCTTGGAGCCCTATTGTGGGCTCAGAGCTGGGCTGGGCACTCAGAGCTGGGCTGGGCAATGTCCTCAAAGGAATCAGGACCTGGACAATGAGGCAGCCCCGTCAAGACAGAAGCAGGCTGAATCCAAGGTCTTAAGGTAGGGGCCAGGATAAGATGGTTCTGATGCAAGATGGGGGTCCCATTTCTTCTCCGGGGCCCAAATTCAAACTCAAGATCCTCAGTGTCTAGAGACCCAAGTGACTGAGTGTGAATTGGCCCAGGATGACCATGGATTGGAATAAACAGGATTTCACAGCCAGGTGTCTCAGCCAGATAAGGTGATGCCTTCAGAAGTACTGGAATCAGGAGCAAGGAAGCCTGTCTTCAGTTCTTTCTGCTTAGCTTCTACCCTGTCATTGTGTTGTGATATAAAGGTTGATCTTAGAAATGGAAAGACACAAGCTAGACAGCTTAGTATCTGGAGAGGTTTAATGGAAGTTTGTTAAGTGACTGATCATCAGTCAACAATGAGAGACTCCAAAGAAAGCCTCATGAGAGAGCTGTGGGAATTAGGGTTATCTACCCTGAAAAAGAGAACAGTTTTGAAGAGTTAGGATCTGTAAATCCTTGAAGGGCAGATTTAGGACCACAGGAAAGGAGACAGGGAGGGAGTGCACTATCTTGGGGTAGGGGCGGGAGGATGTAAGTAGAGGGCTTCTGGGTGGGACTGAGCACCTTCTGAGAGCCACTTCCAGTCCCAGCAAGGGAGGTTCTTAGATCATTGTTTTCCTGAGCACATTGTCTTCCTAGGTGAGCACTCTCCAAAATGGCTTCAGGAGACCCAAGAGACACATCAGGGCTAGGTGGATCCAGAACCACTTTTAAAAGCATATTTAATTCAATGTACAAGTGAAGAAATGCAGAGGATAATTGTGAAGGCTTTGTTTGTCTCTGGTCTAGAGAGGAGATAGATAAGAGAGCTGCTACATGCATTCCTCCTCCTCCTCCTCCTCTTCTTCCTCCTTGTCCTCCTCCTCCTCCTTTTTCTTTTTGAGACAAGGTCTTGCTATGTGGTTCAGTCTGGACTTGGGCTCACTTTGTAGCCCAGGCTGATCTCAAACTTGCAATGATCCTCCTGCCTCAATTTTTTTTTTTTTTTTTGAGACAGGTTCTTATTTTGTCCTCAAACTTGT